GATAGTGTGTTTGAATTTCCCGAGGATGGGGACTTGTGGGGATCGAGGAAGTCCAAGAACGTTGATAATGGTTCTTATGGCTTCAACTCGTCTCAGGAGTTGAGTGACTTTGGTATTTCTCAGTCAAGAGATCCCGAAAGTCAAGGTGATGGCTGGGATCTTGGTGGGGATTTTGGGAAATCTAGGAAAAGGGCCAGGGGTGAGGTTAATCCAGATCCATATGATTATAATTCATCGCAGGAGTTGGAGGAACATGTGGTTCCACCTCAAAGCAAGGTCAGGGATGATAAGGTTTTTGATTTCACAGAGGATGGGGATTTATGGGAATCGAAGAAGTCCAAGAATCTCGATCTTGATTCATTTACGTTAGATTCCTCTCAGGAGTTGGGTAATTTGTGTACTTCTAAGTCGAGAAAACATGAAAACAATGGTGATCATCGGGGTTTTGGGGGGGTTTCTGGAAAATCTAAGAAGAAAAATATGGATGAGAATGGGAAATTGCATAGGAAAAAGAATAAGAAAAAGATGAAGTCAAAGGAGTCGGAGCCAAGTTATGTTGAGCTTACTGCTACACTTATGGAGACTCAAGAGTCTGGGGAGATGATGGAGCATGAAGATGAGGTGAATTTTGCGTTGGATGGGCTGAAGAAGGGGCAACCAGTGGCAGTTCATAGGGCGAGCCTTCTGTCATTGCTAACAATTTGTGGAACAGCGCAGCAGAGGCGGCTTTTGAAAGTGCATGGGTACTTTATGTTCAATTCGTTTTGGTGAAGCCCATCTTTATGAGGATAAATGTTCAGTGGGATAGTATACAATCATTTTCTTTTCTTGGAAAATGGGTCTTTATAGTATGAGATAAAGAAATTCTGTGCTTTAATGGACAGAATTTCCATTTTGCTCAACATTTTCAATGTTGAGTTGAGTAACTATTTACTGAGTAAGCTTTCTATTTTGTCCAACCATGAAGGTTGAGAGTTTACCTTTCTGATAGGAAAGTGGGAGGCAAATCTGGTGAATATGCTTTTATATCAAGTGGTGCTTAAAAATTTGTGTTTATTACTCCTTGTATGTGATTGAGCTATTTTTATCATTAGGTTTTGAAACTCTTTTATTTTTTCTTAGGATGGCGGAAATTATCCTTGATGCTGTTTTGGGACTCAATTTTGATGATATGCCATGTAACGTTGCTGCTGCAGCTTTAGTTTATGTTCTGACGGTTGACGTGAGTTATTTCAAGAACATATTTTAGGGTTGATAATATCTTTGTTTGCTTCAGTGCCATTCCAAGATATGTATTTCTCCAGCCTCGCACCAATTATCATATGAAATTTTCATTATTTCAGGGTCAAAATGATTATCTTCTGGATTCACCAAGCTGCATCCATTTTCTAATAAAAATGTTGAAACCACTTTCACCTAGCGTTGTCAAGGAAAAAGCTCTACCTGTTGGTAGCAAGCTTCTAAGCCTGTGCAGGAGTGTCGGTTTGTTACAGGAACCAGCCAAGGGAACAGATTCTAGCTCTACAATCATGCTCCAGGTTCGGGAGATCCTTGTCAATTGCAAGGAAATGAAGTCAAGAGATGACAGTCATGGTGGGGTAGAAGAACCAGAGTTGAATCCTAAATGGATTAGTT